AATATCTACAAATAATATTCTCTAAAGCTAATATCCAATAAGATATAAAGAATTATTTATCCAATCAAATTGTGATATGAGACGACCAATAAAATATAATTAACTAATTTCTACTAAAAGTTCATATCACAACAATATATAAATATTAAAATACAGAAATATGATCTTATTCTAGATAAATCTTGATTATTTATAATTTAACTATAAATTAGAGAAATAATATTATCATCTTTATTTATAAATTAAAAATAATAAAAATTCAAACAGATAATAAAGTTAAGTCTAGCTTTAGTTGTAATTCAATATTATTTTAAGATAGCAGATTGCAAACTTATTAGCAGATATAGAATTTTTCACTATATATTTTAATAATACTAAAAATAAAAAAGAAGTTAAAGAAAAATTATCTTTATTAGATATTTTAGAAATAAAGAAAAAATATAAAGATATATTTCTAGAAATCTTATTAAATTAATTATTATTTAAAAGAGCTATAAATTATAAAATTAATCTCATTCTAGAATCTGAATTATCATTCAGATCTATCTATAGACTCTTATTAATAAAAATAAATAAGCTTAAAAAGTAAAAAACTGATTTTATTTAAAAAGATTTTATTTATTCAAGTATCTTATTTTTTAAAATATCAATTTTATTTATAAATAAGAAAGAAGATATATTGAAATTATATATAGATTATAAAGTTTTGAATAAAATTACTATTAAAAATCATTATTCTCTATTAAGAGTTAATAAACTTATAGATAAACTCACAAATTTAAAATACTTTTCAAAGTTAGATTTATATTTAGAATATTATTAAATATATATAGCTAAAAAAATATTTATAAAATAATATTTAAAACTTATTATAAATATTATAAATTCTTAATTTTACTTTTTGATCCTACTAATATACTGATTATTTTCATAATTTTAATAAATAATATATTTTATAATTATTTAAATAAATTTATAATTATTTACTTGAATAATATTCTAATATATAATAAAATATTTAATATTTTCAAATAATATTAAACATATTTTACAAGTATAAATTATATATCAAGTGAAAAAAATGTGATATAATTTAATAATATATAAAATATCTTAAATATTTAATATTAGTAAATGAAGTAAATCAAGAAAAATAATTATAATCAGAGATTGATTAATATTTATAAATATATCAAAACTTTATTTATTTTTAAACTTATAAGCTACTACAAAAAGTTTATTAAAGGATTTTTAGTTATAGTATTATTACTTCTTTATAAAGATAAAAAGTATGAATAGTCTATAATAGTATAATACATATTTAAATAACTCAAATAATATTTTATATTAATATTAGTCTTATTATTATCTAATTCTAAATTACTATTTACAGTTATTATTATTATTTGAATTTTATAATATATTAATTACAGAATATATTGAAATAAATAAGATATATATAGTAATATCTCAATAATTTTATTAATAAAAGATGAATAAAAATATTCATAAATATATCATCAATTATAAATTATATTAATATAATAAAAATAATAATGAATAATTTCTAGAATTATTTTAATCTCTTGTTATTTCAGAAAAGAAATAGAAATATATCACCATAAATTTTATAATTCAACTTCTTATCATTAAGTCTGAATTAGTGATGGAAGCTATAACTAGTTGCAACTCTGTCATAATTCTCAGATTGGTTGCTGCAAGCTACAACTAATTAAGGAGTCATCTTTAGTTTGAATATAATATTATAATTATATTTATAAATAGATTATCTAAAAGAGTATATTTTATATTAATTATAATAATAGTAATTATATTTAATATCACTAAGATATTTTTTAAAAATATCTTTAAACTATATAACTTATCTATGGTAATAATATCAAATAGAGATATTAAATTCACAAGTCACTTTTAAAAATCTCTTTTTGAATAACTAAATATAAAATTAACTATATTAATAGTCTTTTATCTATAAATAAATAGTTAAATAGAAAGACTTAACAGAATTTTGAAAGAAATATTGATAATATATTAATAAAACAGATAAGATAAAAATCTAGTTGCTACAGAATTTGCTTATAATAATAGTAAAAATACTTTAATTGTTTATATATTTTTTGAATTAAATTATGAATAGATATCTCATTTATTAATTAATATCTTATTATCACAAAATAATATTGCAGCTTCACAAAATTTTACAAAGTATTAGAATGTTATAATTAAAATAGCTAAAAATTTATTATTAGAAGCTTAAGATAAATAAAGTAAATATATAAATTAATATAAAAAATTTGAAGAATTTAATTTTAAAGATAAAGTTCTTCTTTTTATTTATAATATAAAAACTTTAATTGATAAAATTATCTTAATTTATATTTTTAAAGAGTAATTAATTATAATTTAATAATTAATAATAATATAAATAATAATATAAATATAATAATAAAAGAATGAAATAAAATTATAAAGAATTATTAAAAAAAATTCTAATTAAAAATATTAATTATCTAAATTAATAATATAGATATATATAATAATTATCTGTATAATTATATATTAAATCTAATATATTAAATATATAGATGATTATTTATATATTCAAAATGAAATTGATCTTTATAAAAAGTAATATAGAAGCTAATCTATTATATAAATAGTATTAAATAAAGATCTGAGTTAAAGAGAAATAATTTAATTAAAATTATTATATATAAAAATATTTTTAATAGAATTTCTTTTTACTTAATATAACTAGATATATATTTTTTATATTTTTCATTTATAATTATTTATTATATATTTATATATTGATAAATATTTTTTAAAAATATTATTATATAAGTAATTATATATTAATAATTATTATTTATTTATAGAATTATAATTTATTTATTTAAAGATACTTTATTTTTGTTTTGTATTTTTAATAATAATTTATAATTATAATAAAATATATAAGTTTTTAATTATAATAATCTATTTATCTTTAATTTAACTTTCTATATAAATTTCTTGTTAATATTTTTAATATTATCTTGATTTTTTATATAAATTTCTTGATAACTTGTATTATATAATAGAAAGATTATAATTAAAAATTAATTTTTTAATAAAATATTAAAAATATTAAAATTTTTTATTTTATATTAAATTTATAATTATATTAAGAAATAATTTTTAATTTATTAGTTTTTTTAATACATTAATTAATTAATTATTTAAATAAAATCTGAAAAAATAATATTAAATCACAAATTATAAAATTTATTTCTTAATATAATTATAAGTTTTAATATAAAAAGAAAATTTTTAAATTTTATTATATTTTAACTTTTTAATTTTATAATATATTAATTATTATATTTATTAAATTTTTAAAAATAATTATATAAATTATTTATAATATCTTATAAATTTTAAAATTTAAATAATTAAATTTTATTTAATATTTCTGAAATTAATATTATTTTTTAATATTCTAAATAACTTATTTAAATTACTTAAATAATTTATTATTAAATATATAATTTTAAAAAAATAATTACTGTATTCTCCCAGAAATAAGTACCATTTTTTGGACTCAAAAATAGGATTTCTAGAATATCTACCAGGATTCATCTGAGAATAAGCATTATTCAATCAACACAGCAAATAAAGATGGTGATTATTCCTGAGCAGTTTTCATATATGAGATGCGTGACTCTTATTTATTCATTATTCTCAGGTGGTGCTTATTTCTGGGAGAATACGGTATATCAAATATATTATTAAAAATTATAGTTAATATAATACTTAAATTTTTTTATTAGTAAAATATATATTTTATATATATATATATATATATATAAATTTTCAATCTTACTATAATTTTTTTATTTTTAGCTCAAAAAATAGTTTAAGTTTTTTAATTTGATATATATTTTTTTATTAAAAACTTATTTATATTATATATAAAGATAATTAATTTTACTAATTAATAATTAATAAAAATTAATTATTTTTATATATAATAAAAAAAAATTCTTGATAAAAAATCTGAAAAATCTGAAAAAATATATATTAAACTAGAGAACTTAGCTATATTTTGAGTTAAAAATAAAAATATTTATTAGTAAATTAAAAACTTTTATATATAAAGAAAAATATGTATTTTATTAATTATAATAGAAAAAATTCAATATTAATTATAATTGTTACTATATTATTATAACTTATAAATTCTTTATATTTAATTTTAATTATACTTTCTTTATTTCAAATAGTTAATTTATTTATATAGAATAAAAACTTTTTTAATAAGAATTAGTTCAAGTATTTTTTTATTTAAATAATAATATATTTATTAAAGTTATCAAAATATTAATTTTATTATTTATAAAAAATATTTATTAATAAAATTAAAGACTTTTAATATAAAAGTAAGTTACTTAGTTTATTAATAAAATTGTCAATATTCAAAAGTAAAAAGTAGAAAACTTGAGATTTAATAGTCAATTTGTATTGTTATAATAATAATAAAAGAAAAATCATGTTAATGTAGCACATGTATAACTAACGCTAAGGGCGGAAGTGTAACGTTTTGAACTACATGTGGATGCAAATAATGATACACAGAATCAATTTTGGAATTGCATGCAAATAATGATACACAAAATCAATTTGGAATTTTCTTTCAACATCGGCTTTTGTCAAGTTTATTACATGAATCTCGTATCTCTGATAGATTCACCCGACTTCGTCGTTCACCAATTATAATCTCATTACGCCATCATGCCAAAAACTATAAACATCAGCAGCCTTTAATGCACCCCTATAGTGTCGTCATTGATTACGATTTAATATATACATGTATTTTACGTGTTTTAGAGATGTACACGTGTGAAAATAAAATATTTGTTTTTTATAATTATTTAATTTCGTTTTGCTTTTCTTAATTGAATTTATGGAGGAACTACAGAAAAAATATTCATTTAATAACAATTTGACAAATTTGAACAAATCATATGAGCAAAATAATTCTGTTTCGTCCAATTCTAACTTGCATAGCTTAGCTCCAGTTCTTTATTTTCTTCCACCGTCGGATCCGCGTTCAGAAAATTCGTTTCGTAATTACTCGTTTACCGGTGCTTCACATTCACAGGAATTTAAAAGACGTACTTCGAAAAAGAAGACCTCTAACGAACTTGCACAAATCTCAATAGATATGAATGAAAAAAAGGAGCATGAAACCGTAGATAGGTAAATTTTAAGTCATATCTTGATTATATTTATTTAAACAAATAGAAACTTTCATTTAAATACATGTATAGCACTTTGGATAAAGAGGTGAATCCTGCACAGTTAAATGAAACTAATCTCTCTGGAGAGCATCCAGCGCTCAAAGTTACCGAACAGGATCAAACAGACAATGAAGATGACGAGGAGACAAATTATGAAGATGATGACCAATCAAGCTTTCAGGTACATGTATATTATTTGTTACCATTATTAATTAAATTTTTGTATTTGTATAACTGATAAAACCTTATTTCGTTAAAAAAGAAACTTCATCCTTTCGAGAAAGAACGAATAAAAAATCAATTGCGATCACCTTTGCAACGTAAATTTTATTACTTCTTCGTAAAACCGACGACGATATACGCAAAGATATTTTCTTCTTTATCATTATTATGTGTGATTACTGCGACTGTAATTTTTTGCGTGGATTCTCTACCGTATTTTTTAATGAATCAATTAAAACATTTTCGTGAGATATGGTAAGTACGATTCGAAAATTAATATTAGTTTCTGAAATAAAGGATAAATTGTTTTCTCTTTAAAGGCTTTCAATCGACATTTTTATCTGTACTATCTTTACTTTGGAATACTTCGGAAGATTATATGCTTCAGTTCATCGAATTAGATTTATATTTCGTAAGTATAATTTTTTTATATCCTTTAGGTGGAATATTCTGTGACTCATATAGAATACTTTTGAATTTGAATTTGGTCTAGGATTTTGGAATATCATTGATTTTCTCTCAATCGTTCCTTTTTACTTGGATTTGATGATTCCTATCGTAAATAGTAAATAGTTTATTGTTAATTTTTGTTTGCTATTTAACCTAATTCTTTTTCTCTTATACTAGTTAACGATTGCTTATTTAAATACATTACGACTCCTTAGAATTTTGAGAATATTTCAATTTGCTAAAAATTCCGTGGGATTTAATGTGAGATTCTTAGTTGTCGACAAAATAAATACGCGAATTGCATTATTCATATCCGTCTTCTCTTAATTTTAGATTACGACACGTGTCTTCCAACGCTCCATCACTCAAATAGCCATGATGTCGATTTGGGTCTTCGCTGTTATAATCACATCGTCAACCCTCATATATTATACTGAACGTGGCAACTTAAATCACAATGATTTTATTTGGTATCGAACCGGAGCTGACGGGCAAATAGAGCCGAGTCCGTATCAATCAATTATTCACAGTTTCTGGTGGTCAATCGTGACAATCACGGTATGCTATTGTTTATTCAGATTTTTTTTGTTCGTTTTCTTTAAATTTAACATAAGAATTTCGATCATAGACTACCGGTTATGGTGATGCTGTTCCCGTAACAGGCTGGGGAAAATTTATCGCAGGAATTACAATGTTGTGCGGCATTATGTTGATTGCTATACCAACTTCGATTATCGGGTCTAACTATGTAAACGAGTGGGCTTTATATCGACGTATCGAATTCCAGATGCGATTACGAAAAACTCGAGAAAAAGCAAACAAAGCAAGCGAATTTTCCGGGAGCAAAACTAAACAAATCGAAATTCTTCGAAGTCATAATCAAACAATGTTAGAAGCTCTAGCAGAGATTCAAGAAAAATTAGCAGACGTTAATCCCCCTCGTTACTGGCAGAAATATAAGACTTTACAAATGGATTATGAAAAAGCTTTAATACAAATCTCACAATTAGAGAGCGATGTATTGAAATGGAAGCGGATAGCTGAAAACCTCGATTGTTTTAACAAAAAGATTTTTCCTGGATCAAAAAATCATCATGATGGAACCCTTGGTGCTGGCAAATGCGAACATGAAACTTCTGGAGATGGAAATGATGGCTTGCATAGAACGGGAAAAGTGTGGGATAAATTCAGACCAACGAATCATCAAAGACATCACACTATATTAGAAAAACGAGACTCTAGGTCTTACAGTGATCAAGAAATAGAGACCCAAGAAAAGAACAAATCGATAAATTCAAAATCAACAAGAGTTATTTCACAGCTTCGCAAAAAGCTAACACTACACAATCGAGATAAATTTCATGCCGAACGTTCTCATAGCATTGATAAGGAAAAAGTTGGTTCTATTGATCTGTATTCTCACTCTAACCCAATAAATCCAGACGAAAGCTCAAATAACGATAATACAGAACGGACTCATAATAAAATGTTATCTGGAAACCTTTCTGATCCTGAGTACAATTTACAGTCTGTTATGACATTTCCCAAAAAAGTTAAAAAGCTTGAACCGGAAACTGGAAATTTTTCAGCTCGTCAAAATATGAATGCAAAAAGTAAATCTTCAAACATGCTATTTGATTTGTTTAAAAACGGAAAAGAAGTCGCACAAAATACAAATCTCGATAAATTCGACTTAAATACAGGCTCAGGTGCGGGTACTTCAACCGATATAGCGATAGCAACTCCTGCTCAACACCAAATTGAAGTTATTGTCGATAATCCCGGTGTTAAAGCAACACCAGAAAATGAAGAACAATCTGAGCAGAATAAACCGATTTATGTATCGGCTTCACCAATAGATGAAAAAAATTTACATGATTTTAACTCGGAAAATTCGAAATAATGTGTACATAGCATACATATAACAGAACTTATACACGCACCAAATCATATAATATACATGTATAATAAAATGCCCATTTGTAGCTTGTTTTAATTATTTGTAAACTCTGAATTTAAATATTAAATTCCGAATTGCGCAACTCGCAGACCTGATTTAAAAAATGGTATATGTTTCTTCAAAAATAAAAAAATTGGAATTAATTTCGACCTGTCAAATCAAGGGTTTCTGCTGTTTCTATCTAATCCATGCCTACGACACGAAACGTATTGCTTGGATCAAAATCTATTAATTATTCATATTTTAATTTTTATACTGTATTTAAATTATAACCCGAAAATAAGCTGTTTCCTCATTTTTCTAATTTATAAGCATGCAGAGAAAGCTAGCTTATTTTCGTATTCTTCAGCCAAATTTCGTTATGAACACACGTACATAGAATATTACTTTTTATTAATACTAACATTAAAACGCGTTTTTATGATTTTTCATTTCTTTACATATTCGTTATGGTCCAACAAACTTTTGAACTTTATCATGTGGTGGAATACTGGGCAACTTGTATGCAAGTTTTTATTTTTTGGGATAAAATCTAATGTTTTGCTATATCCATGAAAATAAGATATTTTAATAGTTCCCCTGATAAATAATTCTGTGAAGTAAATTGACAATTCAAATTTTTATTATCCAATACGCGCGATTCTGGGAATAAAAGTTTTTAATTAACAACACTAAACTGCATGACATACTAAAAAAAGTTTGCTGTCTGACCGATGAAGCTGGTAAAAGTGGCTAATAAAAGGTACAGCATTTACGAAAGCTTTAACTTTTAATTACACATAGAATTCATTTTTAACGAAGGTTCATTTGAACGAATCTATGTAACGAAGCTTTCTAAAAACGCTTTATTATAAACTAATAATGAAAAAGAGATCAATTCAATGAAGCATTCACATTAACGAAGTTTTTAGTTGAAACGGGACCTTTCGTTAAAGTAAACTTCACTGTGTTCAAAAAACTCATTAAGCTGGGATCATGATTTATTTGTTAGCTTCCGAGGTAATACAGGTATAAAGATAGCGTATAGCGCTCTGCATAGTATTCCCCTGCAAAAAAAAAATTCAAAATTTTAAATTTTAATTTAATCATGTCTTTATTTGGCAGAACTAATTGTTTGTTTCGCAAATAAATAAATTTGGAAACACAGCGAGGATACTGTACAGCACGCGTTTTACGGTAGTATCGTAAAATACCCTTATGGAAACAGATACGACTCAAATTATTTATATTACTTCTCTTCTGACCATTTAAAGAAACGTTTTCTATACTTTGTTGAGGTAGCCAATAAATTTATTGTACTTTGAGAACGAAGTTAGAACTATTCACATATTAATAACTATTATATTTGTACGTACATATTGTAAACAATCTCTTGTTTTCCTCAAAATCAAAAAATATCGCGTTTTTATTATTATTATTATACTTGATATTTATAGGATAGGGGGAAAACAATAATTAATTTGAAACGTAATTAAAGATGATAAATTTCACCCAGGTGTAATTGGAAGGATGCAAAAGATTCAAAAGAAACAGCACCCATTTAACTGGGCACAACTTAAGAGTTTAATTTCCTAATTCATGATGTCTAAGAGCTAGATATGAAGAATACAAATAACGATAAGAAACCAATCATAAGTACCAATTATATAACAAGGAACCAATCAAAACAGTGCGTCAATTAGCAACTAGCTTCTTTGGTGAAACAATGTCCTACTTTAAAAAGCGGCAATCTGTGTATAGCAATATCTTCCGTAACAATAATAAAAAACGTCATAACAATGTATTACAGATTTTTTTTTAACAGATTTCTTCAAGTTAACTGCGGCAGTAGCAGTAAGTTTGTTTATATTGGCGCATTATGCAGCAAAAGTCAACTGTGCTTGAAAAAAATTTCTATAACAAGCATATGTGAAGCTACGTATTAACGAATTTCTATAAAAAAAATTCGTGGCACATTATCATGTAAAATGTTGCGAAAAATACGTACATAATATTCGCCCAGACCTGGATTTACGCAATAACTTGTTATCGGAAATGTACCTAGATATAAATATCGATATCCATTGACATTTATTCATTGACTTGAATCATTTATCATTGTCTGTTCAGTCATCATTGTCGTGGTAAAATTTTTTTTACCAATTAACCTCCTAAATAGAAAAATACAGAATGAGGCGTCATTCCGGTTTTTTCGTTCTTAATCTCAAATTTAAGATGCGTACATTGCACAAGGAAAAAAAACAATAATATTCCGATAATAATATCTATATTGTATTGATTGTATTTCCATCAGCTTTAGAACCTGAAATTTACATGATTAATAATTTACATTAAAAAAAAATATACATAATTTGAAATTGATTTACAAAAAAGTAATGAATTCCGATAAGAATATAATTCATTTCGGGTACTCCCAAAATATTGTTACAAAGATGTATAAACCTAAACAAAAATTGATATCAATCTATTTTTAAGTTAAACATGAGCCTGACTTTGAAATGTCGCCATGACAGATTTTTTACGAGCTATTGCCAACTCTTCATCATCATCGATGAAGAAACGTGTTTGATCGAGAATAATTTTCTCTTGACTATTATCAAGGCTTGTGTGTCTTAATTTTTTACCAAATAACGAGTTAAAGAATCCTTTGCGAGCTTCAATCGTTATTCCATCTTCATCGAAACTTTCGTCAATGATAAGTGGACGATCAGGATCCAGATCGGGATTAATTGAAGGATCAGAGCACTCCGAATCTCGGCGAACTCTGGTCTATGAAACGAAAGAAACAAACAGAATTCGTTAGTTTATTTACATGTATGACGAGCAAACCCAATTAATTATACGCGTACAGTACCAAGCTGGATGCAAGAATCACTTCTTGAGGTGCGTCATATAATTCGTTGTTAAATGGCGTAAAGATTTTTTGATCAATAACTTTTTCATCAGTTAACTCTTTATTGTGTGATGGTTGATCTAAAACAAGCTCTGGCGGTTCACACGTAGAATAATCGATTTCAAACGACTCTTCGTTATTCCGTATTTCGTTTTCCTTTTCCTTTTGATCAAACTCGATCGCGATAAAATCGAGCAAAGCCGAAATAATTTGACGAGCGTCCAACGCACTATTATTATTTACAGTCTCGCCATATTTTGATGTTTCATTTTTATTATCGTCATGGGGAGGGCTTATGAAAGAGGAGGATAAAATATCAAACTTGCTAAATTGATTAACAGGTTGATATCCAACATAGGGAAGTTCACCCTCTTGCTGGGTTGGTGAAAATAAAGAATAAACTTCAAATTGTGGAGGCAAAATTATCGACATTATTTTAAGATTTAGGATATTTTTTTAAAGTACCAAAAATCGTTAAATGAGTGTGTATAAAGGTGAGAAGGTGAATCTTTTCAAAACATTAAAAAACAGCAAAACAATCAAAAAAATCACTCAACGTATACGTCAAGACTAGTGCTTTTATAATGTTCTAAAACACACGCATTTTTCTGCCTAGCATTTTTTAACCCCCTTCTGGTGAGCACGAAGTAAGTTAATTTTAGGGTTATACATGTGCATGTAAACAGGTATCGGTATGCACTCACTTGATCTGCGACAAGAAATGATTGTGTGCGTTTGTTTTTTATTTATATCGATATCGTTTGCTAAAAAGATACATACAATGACTAAATTCATCAATGAATTGTTTAGAAAAAAAAAAAGGCTTCTGTGGCAATTATGGTCAAGTTCATAATGGAAAAAAAAAATACCAATAAATAGTTAGTTTGAACTACATGTATATCGATATAGTTAACAATTTGTTTTCTATTTCTAGAAACGATCTCTCTCACTGCTAAATTACTTTGCACGGTTCGCCTTTCATATGGGCGTGCGAGTGTTACATTAATAAGCATACATGTACATGATACGATACGATGATGCTATGAGAATGTAGTGCAGTGCTTTACAGTTACTTCATAGAATGCTTCATAGAATCCCCGCTAATTTGACACAAATTTCAATGCACTTTCCATCTTCGTTTAGTTAACTCACCATTGTGATGATCCCTGGTGATGATCCTTCATATCGATCATCAGGGACCTTCCAGCAGAATTTCGAGTATTGATACTGAATAAGAAATTCTCATTGCTTTAAATAATAACAAATTTGCATAATACATGTATATAATCTTCCTTTCCATTTAATAAATCATTCTACAAATATACATAATGATGGGTATATAAGGAAAATTCGAAAAGAGAGTATATGAGGTTCTCACACCAGGCATTTTTCTGATAGTTATATCGTAACGTACAATGAAGTCTGTAATTTTGGAGAAAGCATTGTTCGACAAGTTTTTCCCTATTTGTAACAAAGAAATCATTTTCATAATGCATTAGATCTATTCTATTTTCAGATAAGACTTTGAAAATTAGTTAACGTATAATTTTCAAAGAGAAAATTCGCCCAATAACGATTTGCTAGTACAGATCAGATCCAATTATCAAAAATAACGATAACGATAAGCAATCCGATAAAGACTTGTTAGTACAGGTCCCAATTATCGGATAACGATAAGTGTTTCAGTTTCTATAAATATTTTTCGTGAAACCTAACGCGTGAAATCGTCAATATGTACAGCATATTTGCTAAGCCATATGCATACCAATTTATCTATCCCGAATACTTGTTTTACATACGTGTATTTCGATATGGATATTACCTGTTTATACTTTAAAAAATGTGATATCTCATGTCGATAAATTTTACTTGGCGAAAAAAAGAAAAATATCATACAATTGTAGAATTATTAAATTTTTTTATTACTCTTTCGATAAAATTATGTTTTAATTCATAGGATTTTGAATCTTATAGATTTAGAAAAATCTGTTATGTGTATGCTTCTACGCGTTTTGCTTTACTTTTTGCTATTCAGAAAGGGTCATGAATGCAAGAACGACAATTTTCTGGAAATATAGATATTTTTCTAGTTAATACATTATTATAGCAGAATGCGGGCTTGAAGTTTGTAACAAAGGCGTAGCTTCATTTACACGGGGACCAGTAACAGGCTGACTCCGAGAGCGTATAGTTATATTCCTAAACTTTCTACGACCTCGTCCTTCGCCACCGATGGTCGATATTGGATCGTTGGTGGAAGTACGATGCGTCGTATTTGCCAAAATTAGTTTCGATCCGGTATCTACTCGTACCGTCAATCCCACACATTTGTCCGTTTCATCGTAGATTTCTTCTTGAATTAGTTCTTCGAGTACATCTTCGAGCGTTATGATGCCAATTGGTGGTGTTTTTTGTTCTTTCTTGCTTCTTACAACAATTGCGATATGACTTCTGCCTTCTTGGAATATGTTTAACATCTCAAATAAGGGTAGGTTAGCTTCGACTGTCGGAATTTTGTTGATTGTGTGTTTTCGAAGTGGTATCGCGTCATGCGGATTATAAAGTATTAAAGACTGGATTGAGGAAATAAAAAAGCAACCAGTTTATTTGTATTGTCACTATTGATTTTCTAGATAAAATCAACCATCAATTCACCTTTGTCAACAAAACCCCGATTATGTTATCACGTGTACCCTTGTAAACAGGTATTCGTGAATGACCAGTTCTGACGATCACCTCCAAAGTTTTCTGATCCAAAATTGCGTCATAAGAAATCAAAAAAGATTTTTCGATTGGTGTCAAGGCATTTTCAACAATTTTCTCTTGAAGATCAATTGCGCCACGCATAATAGTAACAGTGTCAGTTACAAGGTCACCGCCACGCAATGTTGAGGATTCATGATATTTAATCAATTCTTTTAGTTCTGAAAATATTCATATTTGAAAAATTTAATAGATTTTGCAAAAAAAAAAAAAATAATAAAATGAAATTGATCTTTATATATTATTACCGGCACGACGATAAATTACTCCTTTTTCTTTGCCTAGAATAGCGTCTAGCAATTTTGCGATTGGATAGGATATGATGAACTAGATTTAAATAAAAAAAGTTTTCTTACGCGAATTACTCGACACTAAATGTTCAATGGACGGGCAACTTACCATGATCCAAATGAAAATTCCCACTGGCCTAAATGCAAAATAGAAAAGAGTCAATCAACATTCGTCAATTCAAAAGAATAAGTAATAAAATATAATCCAAAGCTTACCTAGCAAAAAAAGCACCAATTGCAAGTCCATGTCGAGAGCATACAGCTTGTGGAATGATCTCACCGAAAATAACGATAAGAGCACTGGAAAGGAGAATTGCCATTATTCCTCCGCCAATTATATCGTCCATTATAATGGGTAAAGTTTCGTTAACTAGGACGTTAAAGAGTAATAATGTGACCAAAAGTAGATGTCCGTTTTTTCTTATCGGTTGAATACGAGCAGCATATTGACTTTAGGAGATATAAAAGATGTGAATATTTCATTTTAAATCTCTTGTGTAATCAGTTTGTAGGAGCTCACCGCTCTTTAGTATTTCCTGAGGTTGCAAGAATATGAAGATTTGTTTCATCCAAACTCATCTATTTGAGAAGCACACGCGACGATTTCATTTGCATTATTGAGAGAAACGAATAAATACTACACCATAACCATCATCGTCATCAATGGTAAGATGCTTACCAAACCAAGTGTAAGTCCTGAAGAATTATTATTATTATCGCTCACGTTAGATCTTGATCCTCAGAAGCATGACACCAAAATGCAATATAGAAGAATGTTACCAGCAAATAATCCTCCGAGCAATACCAATATAATGGATGCTACCAGTTGGATGCAAAATAAAGTCGTACCTGGTTCATGGGGCTTAGATTGATTGATGTCAAAACGCGAAGAATCGACTTTTTTGACAAACAGCAAAAAAAAGAATAACGTAAAACTATATAACGATTCTCTCATTGAGTTTAAAATTATAAACCTTGTGATTTCATTATCTTTGTGGATGGGTCACTTTTATGTTAATTTGAGCCAGTACTTGACACATGTATGCATTTCATAATGATCAACTGTATAACGATAACTTCTCCTTTTTAATAGCTAATAGTAAACCGCCTTCACGCGACATTGTCCTAAATAAAATTCGCAAACACTGTACTTAGGTTTCACAGTTTAATTTTACATGCACATGTAACAGTCAAATTTTGGTTTATTGTTACTAATTACATGTTCTGTACCAAGTCGGAATTTGGTCCATTTTGTGAAAATCCGTAATGTCAACGGTCTATTAATGAATTCGTTATCGACTGAACATATTAATATTTAAGATCACATTAAATTCGCATTTATGATGTATGTCTTATATGAATTAATTTATAAGTTTCATTATATGGAAAAAGTATTAACATTTTTTTTACAATTAATAATTCGCAAATTTAGTAAATACGATACGTATAATTGGAAGCAATCACATCGATTCTACTTGTATTTGCACGACGACAAAGAAGAAAATTATATGCTTCCGTATTTCTTTTCAAATTTACCCTAGCAATCAATACGCCAAGCATGATCAACCGTAATACAAGAATCTTCCATTTTTTCAACAAAGATAAAAAAGATAAATCTCTGTAGTGATAGCAATCAGGAATCAGGGATTTGGTGATTCATGCATGTATTGCTTTTACGATAACGATTGTGTCTCGTAATTGAACGTTTTGATTTTTTCCAGACATGGTTTTCTATTTCGAGAACAAAGAACGCGAAAAATTTATTATGCAACACGAGCGAGTATATGCTACCACGAGCACGAGCCTTTCTTTTAACATCAAAACAAGAGCAACAAATGATTTTAGAATTTAAAAAAAGAACTTTAATTCTGCGTCACTTAAATATTGTCAATAAATCTAACCAAATTAATGAAAATAAACTCAAAGTAAATGCTAAACCATTTATATACATATGATTTTGTATCGCGTTAGGATTTTTTATCAAACAATACGTAATAGGTTCGATGTTGAGATATTCCAGTTTTCTTTACTAGTTTTTTTGTTTCGAAGAGACAAATGTGAAAACTGTTATGAGAATAATAAACACAATGCTTTAATGAAAAACCCTTTTTTAAAGGCGTAGAATATCAAAAGTTTTTTTAATAAATGAAATCGAAAAGGACGTACTAATAATAGATATCGAGTATCTTTGTTTCTCAATACGTCCACTTAAATCGGTCACGACGTATTTATAGGTCTGATTAATAGACGATATTTCTAAACCAACTTTAATTCAAAAAGAATCCAACACATTTTGCAGAGCAGGAAGGTATTCACACACAGCGATAACTATTACGAGTTTTGCGGATTCTTCGTCAAATTTCTGAGGCATTTGATCCTTATGTCTATTTTTTAATATTCTATTAAAACGTATGCAGAAAGGAAATTAATGGTGGTCTCTTACGCTTTAGTTTTGTCTTGAATATCTAAAATCTCAAATACAGTCATACCTCTATACAGTCACCCCCTATACAATCACACCTTCCATACAGTCACAGGTTTTCCCGATCCCAGTTATATGAAGCATAGGAAATTTGACCCTCCATATAATCACAACCTCTTTATAGTCACACTTTTTGGTGTTTCCGAGGGAGTGATTATATGGAGGTATGACTGTACAGAAACATATAATACAGTGATCTATTCTTTTCTTAACATTTTGTCAGCCTCCGCTTTGATTATTAATTGAAATAGAAATTGCATTTGAGAAATAAAGAAATGCATAAAAGAAAGTTTTTATCTTATGTGATAGATCTCATGATTTATTGATTTACGTAGCTGAAATTCAACCCAACATCGAGTAAATGATCTCACTAACTCTTCTCTAAAAGAATTATTTTTTTTATTAAGATTGCATAAAGAACTGACATATCGAAAGCTTTGTATCAAAATATTGGATTAAGAAGTTCAACATGTTTGTCAATCAAATTTTATTTGATCTTTTCAAAATATAACAAATTATTTATTTCATAAACCAGATCACAGCTAATTGTGCATTAAAAAACAGCATAAAAATAAGAAACTCTAATAAGGATATTATAATATTAACAAAAGAATCATTAATTTCATAATATACCAAATTACATGATTCATACTTTTTTTGTTCTATTTTCTTCTATATTATACTTCATATTTATCACATTACTATTTCTATTTTATCATTATTTATGATTTGTGATTCTGAAATATTACATTTTGTAACTTCATTTTTATTTTCTATTTTTAGTGCTTTTTAATTACAGTAGCAATTAAAAGTATCTGACCCCCTGTAACTTTTAAATTAAAGATTAATTATCTTGAAATTTTCAGTATAGATAATATAATATCCTATGAGATTTTTTAATACTTTTTAATTATTATAACAAAATTTAAATGAGAGCTGAATTTTAAATCAATTTTTATATTAATAAAAAAATATTAATCAAATATAATAAAAAATAATTATATTAATAATTTTTAAATTAAAATTTCT